GACGATAATTGATGTTTAAATACGAGTTGATATGTGTGATTCGCGACTATCTATCAGAGAAACACTTCCCCAAACCATAATCCCAGATGCCGATGCAGTCGATGACTCCACTCAGGGGACCGTTGCAAAACTCCATGAGGAGCTGCCTAATGATAATGCTCAGAGTTCTCTGTCGATTAATGTGATTTGTTTGCTTATGCGGGAGGGTAATAACATTTAATAATAATAATTTCTGCCTCTCCCCGCTCGATTGCTGATTGCTGATTGCTGTTTGCTGTTTGCTCAACCTTCGGTGTTCGCTCGCTTGACACTTTATTGACGCATTATTTGTCTTTTATTTTATGAATCTGCGCTGTCTTGGGGCCACGAAGAATGCAAATATCCGAATGCGAGATCGGCTTTGGTTATGGATAAATTATGCAAAAAAGGCGACGAGGCAGGCAAATTAGGCGGGCGTATAATAATCGTATATGAAAAATTTCACCTGTCGCCAAGCCGGGCCAAGGTAATCGACTCCGTTTCTTCGCCGAATATGGCTTAAGATGCCCTAGAAATTGGCAAACCTGGCTTGGCTAATGGATGGATAGCTAGAAAGTTGGGCTGCTCCCAAGACCCCAAAACACAATGTGGAGGGGGGGCGGAAGTGCAAAACTGTTTGCTCGCCCCATAATCCATATCTGTTCTGTGAATTCTTCGGTTGTCTTGTCGGCTCTCCACAAAGAAAAATACAAAGTCAATAATTACACAGTTCCCAGCGATGGGCGATGCGAGCCCAATGGCAAGCGATGGCTAAGCGATTCGAAGCGTGAAAAACGCTTCCTATTATTAGTTTAATTTGTTTTGGGCGCGCAATTTAATTTATATAACAATAATCGTTTATAAATGATAAATTAATATGGGAAACAAATGGCATGGGCGGTCTGGCAGCTCGGAGCACTCATCTCTCGTCGATCGAGCTGAAGCTGAGACTCTGGCAGTGGCGGAGGCTGAAGCGCCAAGTGGTCGACAAGTTGCCAAAATTGGCAAGGCTTAAATGGACATAACAGCAACAACAACTGGGATCGCAGATGAACAGAGACAGAGCTAGAGACAGAGACAGTGACAGAGGCAGAGGCTGCTGCTGCTGCTGCTGCTTCTGGCCAACTTGGACTTTGTTAGTTATTTCCTATCCGCCTTTGTTCGGGTAATTTATGTGTGTTTGGGCGCCTTGTGTGGGTTGGCTTTTGGATGGGTCAGTATTAAGAAGAAGTCGAGTGGCGACGACTGGCGACTAGCTTTTGTATTACGCATACGAGCCATTTGCTTTGATTTCTTATTTCCTTTTGAACGGACAGGCGAGAGAACTTCCATATAGGGAAGCCCCAACTGTGGCAGGCAAATTTCGCTTTGTGGCGATTTCTTTTTGTCCAAATTTGGAAATGCCCAAATGGTTAAACGTAAATTGAGGGTCTAGAGGGTCCGGCAGGCAGGGTTCCTGCCTAACATGACTTTTCAGATTCTCATCCTCTTCAAGTACCCCCCCACCACCCGCCCCATCTACACCTTTCATTCAATTCGAACCCAACGACTGCCAGTGGCTCGCTCTGCCTGTAAGTTAGCGCGCTTGAGAAATTTAAATGAGCTGATTTATGGCTATTTGATGAGCGCATTAACCGGAGTAGCCGCCTCTGCCCTCAGCTCCCGCCTTCTCCTGTAATTTATGCTGTTTAAAAGTTATTACATATTTAAGTTTTATTTGTTCTGTTTCGTATGCTACACCAGCAGCAGCTCCAAGCTCCCAGTTTCCAGTACCCAGTTCCAGCTCCATCCGAATTCTTAGCGCAGGTTCTGCCAGCACTTTTTTCAAATATCCAACTCTTTCGTTGTAGTTGTTGATGATGTTGTACGGTGTACTTTATTATTAATTTTAAACGTGGGCCCACAATAGCAACAATACGTACGCCCACACAGCATTTGTCAAGTTGCTGCTTGGATTCTTTTCTTGGTCGTTTTTCGTTTGATACCCCTTATAGTAGAGGGTCTTTTGAATTTTAGCACATGTTTGCAATGCACTACAATATATAGAGTATATACATATATTATACATTTCTTTATCAGTTAAGCAAGTGAAGATCGGATCACGGATGATTCTTTGGCTCTTCCATAAACTGTAGTTTTAGTATGTCTTTTTTAGTAGCTTCACAATCGATACTTGATCGATCTTCCAGGGTATCGAAAGCTTCGACCCACGTGCATAGCCTTCCTTTCTTGATTTGTGTGTTGTTCTGGCTGCTTGCTGGCCGCATTTGTTATTACTCTTTGCGGTTTTGTTAGTTTCTTTTTTTTGCGGCTGCAGGTTTGTGTTTTTTTTTCTTCGCGATTAATTCTTGCAATTTGAACATTTCAGCACGTCGACGTCGGCGCCTGCTTCTAATTGCAAGCGAAAAATTACTCATACGCCGCGTTGCGCTCGCATAATTATCGCCTATTTCCACATCAAATCATTTGTGGCTGCGTGGGTGTGTTGGTTGGCTCAAAGAACTGAATATGAAATCAAAAATAATGAAAATAAAACGATGCGGTTGCCAACTGACGGTTGCGGCTGCGGCTGCGGCTGCGCATCCTCCCGTCAGCTGCTGAATAGTAATTATTATTCTCATACACACACACACACACACGTAATATATCGTATGGAGATACGTTTTGCCATTTATTTATTGTTTAACAAATATCTTGGCTCTCGACTCCACCCTCCCTTTGGGCTCCCTGCAATGAATTGCCTTTATGCGCTCATTTGCATATTAAATAAGCGGCTGCTGCTGCCTCAGGTTGAGCCACTGCATCGGTGTTGGCTGCACTTGGTTGTTGCTCGGTTGTTGGTTTCCACGCGGCAGCAACAGCAACAGCAGCAGCAGCTGTTCCGCCAATGAAAAGAACGCTGTCTGTCGTTCCAAGCCGTAGGTTGTTCCAGCGTATTACGCGAGGGAGCCGCAATCTTTATTAGTATTCTCAATTTGGCTTGTTGACGTAAAATAATTGAATAAGGCAGCATTGCATAAGGTGGAAGTGGGGCCGGCCCTACGGATGGCAGCCACATTAAACATTTAACAAACGTAGGAATTAGATCACATGCTTGTTGGGCAATTGTATTCCTTAAATCTAACATATTTCTCTGAGCGAAGTTCGAGCAAGTATTGTTATAGGTAAATTAATAATGATTATAAAATCACTCAAATAACAGGTCAGTATTAAAGTAATATCTACTATGAGTCCAAATACGACTGAACGCTATAAAGGAAACAAAACAAAAGAAACCCTTCTGGGTTTTAACAGTTTACTCATGAGTGCATTCGATTGAAGATGTTGCGGAATATATGCCAGATGCTCTGTTCCGATGGAGTGTGCGGCTCAATTAGTCAAGCTCCCCCCGATTAGTCAGAATGAGTTTTCAGCTAACGCTGACGCGGCGCAGCTCTTTTGTGATCTGTGTGTTGGGTGGCCCTGCGCACTCAGCCCATGATTGGGCCGAACGCCTTATAGGGCGTGCCAGCTTAGATAACAATTAGAAAATAAATTTATTTGGACGCATGCAAATTTCAATATTTATGGAAAGACACAAAGGAAAGGCATCGCCAGCGAAGCGTCGCGCTGGGTGACTATTTCTCCGCGTTTTTGGTGAAACAAGTAGTTGTATTTCCTTTTACAATGCTCAGGTATTGACAAGCAGAGAGTTACACTTATCTCCCTCCATCGCCATCCATGAGTGGTGTGGTGCATAGATACATGTGTGAGTGTGTGTGTGACATTAAACCACACACAAACAAGTCCGCCATATTTGGCAATTGACTTTGCAGCCAGCCAACAGTGCTAGCGAGATGTATATCTACGCGTACGTACTGCGAGATCTATGCGAATGTGTGCGCTTGCTTTTTTTATTTCTTCTTTTAACTGTTTGCGCTGCCCACATGCGATGGCCTGTGCTTGATAAATAATTTTAGTTTTATAAACACAAATTGACACTTCAAATTGTTTGCCAAAAACCCAACAAAAAAAAAAAAAATAGCAGCAGAAACGTCAGAATAAAAAGAAAAACAAAATCAATTTGAATTAAGCCGCTCCGCTTTGAAGAGTTGGCGGAGATTTCTCTCGCCCCGAAGCGGTGGGGTGGGCTGGGCACCCTGGATTGGGGCATATCATGAGCATAAACACTTCTCGGAATCGGCAAGGCAGGTAGCAGGTAGCCGCCCCACTTGTTCTTGGTTTCGGCAACTCGGTCTCGGTCTCGGCTCGAATAAAAAATGCGAATCGAATTTGTATCGGCAAAGATCTGAAATATGTATGTATGTAGCTTCTAATTCCCCCGCGGGTGTGAGGCGTGCCTTGGATCGATATGATACCCGACTGCAAACGGCTAACTTGAACACATTTATGATTTGAAGATCACAGGCACTCACAGATAAACCATGGACCTTGCTGGGGCGACTCCAAATGTTTGCGATAATTAATTGTGTTTTGTTTATTTGTCTTGCGATTACTTCGGATGTTCACAATTCGCTAGCTTAGATAGGGAGAACTATTATAACTAAAAGATCTTTCAAGAATTAAAGCAGCATGATAATACCTATTTTCAGGTAGTGTAATTTAGTTCGATTTACAGAACATTTCACGTGAAGCTATCAACGTCTTAATTTAAAACAATCATTTTCGATGACCTGCTTGGACTATAATTGAACACCCACAGACGTCATGGGTAGGGCGCTACGGTCTTATCATACCTATTGTAGTGCGTAATTGATCTAGTTTTGTTTCGATCGCTTTTCCCCACATGTTAAGCCCAGTGCCTCTAAAGCTGATAAATATTGTCTCAGCTGTTCGAGGCTGATCGCCGTTAATAGGAAAACAAAAGTGCTTAATAGGTCGCGGGACGGACGGTGGTCAGTGGACAGCGGACAGTGGACAGCGGACACCTGATAACAACTCCGGGCACAAGATATCGTTGAACAAGGGGAAAGAAAACTTACCATGGGAAATGAAGTTGATTGGGAAACCTGCTGCGCTGCCAACCACCTGTTCTGGATGTCGCGCTGATCCAATTTGTGAATGAAAAATGGTTTTCGGTTATCGCCTCTATCTGGCACTTTGTTTCGCTTTTGTCAGAGTTATCGTTTCTGGTTGCTGCTGCTGCTGCCGCTGCTGATGCTACTGCTGCTTCTGTGTGGTTGTTGTTTAATTAGCAATACAAACACATTAGCTAATGCACACACGAGGCACCGACACGGACGCGGACCTGCATAGACATGCACATGCACATGGCGCCCACGCGGCGTGCCAATAGCAAACGCGTTTATTGAAAATGCAACCGTGCCGACGACTTCGACTACGACTGCGACTGCGCACAGAACTTGAGGCTGCGCAGCCGCCAAAATTCAGGTAATACCAAGCTACGAACGCAGCGAACAGCACCCAATGAGAGTACTGGCACAACAACAAAAACCGAGCAATGTAAGAATCGAGCAAGAACCGAATGCACCGCTGCACATGCACTTTGTGTATTGTATTATCTGCTCGTATTTCCCACTGTGCCACCGACTTAACTTAACCGAATCCCAGGCGTATAACCGTTTCGTTTGAGCGATCGAAATTAACTTAAGTAACGGCAAGCTTGAGCGCTTCAATTTCGGACTGATTCCGCAAACATGATCAGGCAATTGATTCCAGACGCATGTTAACGCAATGTTAAAGATCAGCTGTATTTTGTTTTCAATGCATTTAACAGATTCAATTTCGGTAGCAGGGCAAGTGTGTCCAGTCGCATGTTAAGTGAATATAAGAGATCATTTCTGTTTGATTTCAATTTACTTTGAATGCATTTTAAAGATAAAACATAAAGGTTTTTCAGCTTATTTTATTGTTAAATCAAAATAAAACGGCTGAAAAGAGAATTGTTATTATTACTATTATATTATTTTCAATTAAACAAATAACGGCGAGCATGCGCGTTGAATAATAATTTTAACGCGCCAAACGTTAATTTTTGAGAGCGCAGAAGAGGGTTAAAAGTGTGCTGTAACGCGCAGGAGTAATCGAAATCCGAATCATCCGTAGCCGTTTTAAATATTTAAGTATATGAATGTAAAATTAATCAAATTATTTTCCATTTTTTTCCACTTTTGTTTAAATTTATTTAAAGTAATTTAAATTTCCGACGCGAAAGCTCTTAAAACTTAATAAATCGGTAAAGTTATCCGCTAAGTAAAGAACGTGTATATGTAACATGTAAAGTACATGTAAAACTCACATTGCTAATTAAATATTTGAGTATATGAATGTGAAATTAATCAAATTATTTTCCATTTTTTTCCACTTTTGTTTAAATTTATTTAAAATAATTTTAATTTCCGACGCAAAAGCTCTTCAAACTTAGTAAATCGGTAAAGTTATCCGCTAAGTAAAGAACGTGTAAATGTAACATGTAAAGTACATGTAAAAGTCACATTGCTGCTAGCCTCTACTATCGATGGTTTTGATATAGCCACTGCACTCGATAGTTTTTTCTTCTTCTTCCTTTTTGACGACTTTTTTCTTCTTCTTCATTTTTGACGAGTTTTTTTTGGCCTGTTAGATAAGATTTCGCCTTATGTTATGATTTCGCCATATTCTATGTTAAGTTTTCGCCCTTATGTTATGTTATTAATTAATTAAATTAATTTATTTATTTATCCAATTGAATTTGTGCATTGTTTTCAAAATTAGTTGCGTTGAGTCTAGTTGAGTTTTTTGGACGAACATCTAGAACGTTTGGAACAATGATTTCAAATAATTGTTTGGAAGTTTTTGCTATCTGAAGCGATATTTATTTTCAAATGTCCTAGAACTAACTCGAATAACGTACATAACATTTCCTGGCTGGCACTCTCAGGGCCAGCCGAGAGGGAACTTCACTTAGAATCGACCCTGACCCTGACGCTGCTCCTGTTGCGGATGCGTGCGAATGTATTCGAGGGACTTCAGGATGGCAGCGGGGATTGGTGGCGGCGTGGGCAGATGGGCACCGACGGGGTGGTAGCCGTTCTCATCGGCCGTGTACGTCAGCTGGACAAGCTGGCCGTCGGGGGCGTAGTACGCTGAAGAGCCGCTGGCATAGTATCCACCCACGCCCGACTCCTGGCCGGCAATGCCGTTGGAGGTCTGGTACTGGTAGCTGTAGGTTCCGTCCTCCTTCAGGTCGCTCTTGTACTCCCGGGTCTCGGCAGCCGCGTCGTAGGCGTCTGGACGTGCCTGGACGCAGGCAAGGGCCAGGGTGGCAACGACCAGGATGAGCTGGTGGGAAAAGAGCTGGTGGTTAGGATGGCTCCCGACACTCCTCCACTATTTTGGCACTCCACTTACGAATTTGTTCATTTTGGGATGTGGTGGGATTGGATTGGACTGGCTGACTTGTTGTCACTTGGAACTCGCAACGAGAATGAATGTGACTGAGTTGGTCTGGCGGCGCATTTATAGCGTTTTGGCACGGCAAGCCAATCAATTCGGGCCTGGCCACGCACTACGTACCGCAGCGCACACCTCAAAGCTGCTCGACTCCACCGGCACGGCACTCGGCGACCTACGGCAACAACAACTTTTATAATTTTTAGCATTGAACATGAACTGCTCTCACAACCAAACCCAGTCCAAGTCCCAGTCCCCGTCCCCGTTCCCGTTCCCGTCCCAGGTCCGACTCTTCTCTTCCGTCGCTACATATTTTGTTGGTGATTGGTTTTTGGCAGAGCGCTCATAAATTTCGGTGCTTCCTTTGGTTTCAGCTGCTGTCAGCTTTTCGGGCGGTTAATCAATTCCGAGTTCGGTGGCTGCGGCTCTGCTGTGCAGTGGATAACTTTTCATTAGCACCTCCCCGCAGAGAATAGTTGGCTTTTGTGGAGTTTTTAGCACGATTTATAGTGGAATTGTCGCAATATTGCATTTGGATTTCGTTCGATATTGGTCTTGCCACATCCTGTCAGATGTTAAATGCTTGCGTGCGTGAGCAGACAAATTGTTTTAAAGTTTTAAAGTATCCAGGGGATTGGTTCAGGTTTAGTCCTTGAACAGATGTCCCATCTGTCTACGATCATTTATTAATGTTGCAGGGAAACCCGCAAAACCTTTCTGTAAAATCATATGCGAAACTTTATAATAAATCGTTTGGCGAATCGGGAAAATCGATTAAGAATCTCACATGCTAGGTCAACGCATTCATTTATTACAAAATCATCCAGGGCACCGGCACCCAACAACTTAAAAAGGGAAGGCACAAAGAAGAAGCGCAGCCAAGGGTCCCCGTCCCCCCCTCAGCCATAACCTGCCTCGCCGCAACCAGCACTTTGTAGCAGACGAACGACCTTGCCACGGCCGAAAGTAAGGCAGTTTGCCCGGCAAGGGAAGCGGGCAAGCTTGTATTAAGTTTTGATAGGAAAACTTGAGATGTGGCGTTGGCGTTGGCGTGCCTCACGTGCCGCACATGGCTCACGTAAATCAGCACTCAATAATAGAACGAATTAGTAGTGAATTTACTAAGAACTCGGAAGGATCTGAAACACTTTGGGTGCTTCTATCGTCCTTATATCTGCTTAATGCTTATAAATTTATATTAAAAGAATTCTGGTTCAAAAAACTATCTCTCTCTTTTGTAAATTTAGCTGTCTTTTATTTACTGAATTGAAATTTAAATTCTTTATTATTTAATAAAAATTAAAAATAAAAAATTTAATGTATTTAATTTTCTTTATTCAAGGTTAATCTTATTCTCTTTGCTGGGCAACATATCATCTCTCCATTGAACTCTTTTGATGGCGTTCTTTGAAGTTGTATCTGAGGCTCGGATTAACTTTCTTACGTTAAGCTCTCATCAAGGGTCCTGTTTTGACAGTTCCGTTGGCCGGTGAACGGTGGCTGCCGTGTGTGCCCGGCCAGCCGCCCCATCACTAAGTAGTGCGCCCCAAAAAGCAGACACAAAATCATCGACAGCAACAAGAAGAGCCCCAGAAGACTCAGAGCGACCGCATGCTGTTTCGCTTATAAGATTTGTGTTCGCATTTTATAAATACATGGGTTGGTTGGCAACAGGCCGCCGCTGGACTCATCACTGCGACTCATACTCAGATTGGAATTGAGACTGGAAATGGAACTGGCACTGGTACAGGGACAGGGACAGGGCCTGGAGAAAAGTGAATGTGCTGGAGGCATCGACATCAGCAGCAGCAGCAGCAGCAGCAGCAGCAGCAGCAGCAGGAGCATCGGAATTATCTGCTTTTTTTCTGCTCTCTGTTTTGTTGGCCTTTTCGGTGTTACTTTTGGCTTTTATGCTCCAAACCGGCTGTGCGGCAATTCGGTGTTTTTTTTTTTGTTTTTTGTTTTTTGGTCACCCGGCACAATTGTCCGGTGCCTGCCGCTTGGGCGGCTTTAAATGAAAGCAAAAGTTGTTACGTTTCGATGGCATTTCCTTGCGCCTTAAGCCGCTTCCGCTGTACTTAGCAAGCCGCCTGCCTTCGCCTTCGTCTCTGCCTCTGCCTGTCGACCTTCCTCGGCCCAACCGCCTCCTGCATCCATTAGGGCATCAATCCATCTTCACGCGCATTAACCTGGGGGACAAGGAACTGGACAGCGACAGCGACAGCGAAAAAGAGTACATGCTGAAGAGTGCGCTGAAGAGGAAGAGCCCAGCCCGTCTTTGGACGTCCCGGGACGTCCTCACGCTCACCTGCTCCACATTAATTGACCCACATTCGGTGGCAGCGACAATTGCCTTCCAGTCCGGTTCAGTCCCGCTGAAGGTCACCCAGGCGTACCAGCCCAGTGGATCTGCCTGACCCGTCTCCGCCCTCGGGTCTTGATATTTATGATACGAACACGCGGAGACGAGCTTCATTGCCGCCACAGATTCGGGCAGGTCGGTCGCTGAATTGGCATTTGAATTTTAGGCGCTGCTCTGCACTCGCTCAACTGAGACATTTAGCAAACCAAATTAATTAAAATATTGTCAACATATGGAAAGGCATTCGCACTTTTTCAGCTGACGTAAAATTTGATTTGCCTTTGACGGCGTCTGCAGACTTGTTGGCCACGTTTATGGGCTATTTATGGAGCTTCATTCATTAGTTAGTCATCTCGTCTCGTCTCGTCACGACTCGTGCTCCCATCTGGGCAGCTCCCGTATCAGATCTCTGGCCCAACGCCAGAGAGCGTTGGGCTTGGTCTTGGTGCTGAGTCTTTGCGTTGGCGTTGACGTTGGGCGTGGAAGGTCGGTCCCTTGGGGGGTTTTTTATTGATAGCCGACGAAACAAAGTCAACGACTTTCGAAAATCTTGCGGCAACGACCTTCGATTTGACAAAGACGAAATGTGTGCTCACTAATTGTTTGCACCAGTAGTTGCAACTTTCATTTCGATTCGGTGTGGTTGGGCAGGTGGAGTCGCCTGCCTGTCCGGGGATTTTAGCCACCCGCACTTGCAGCCCCAATTTAAATTAGCACAGGGCTTTATTGAATAACTCAATTACTTCGATTCCCGTCATTTAATACACATATATTCACACACTCGTGCACGTGCATTCATTTCTGGTTGGGCCAATCTTCGCAGCTGATGGATTTTAAATCAAAACTTGATTCAATTTGCATGTTTCAAGACCGCCAGACCGCCACCCAGTCGGGGCTATTTGGAATGCTTTGGTTTGGTTTGGTTTGGTCATTCTTTGGCCATTCATTTAGTTGCCGTTGCCCGAATTTGCGATGGCATTTTAATACTAATTGATTTGCCATAAAAGCTTTGAACAATTCAAAGCAGCCAAAGCAGGACGACAAATTATGTTTTATGGGCGCCTCACTCGGACTTGCATTAGGTCTCAGATCAAAAATTGAAGTTTTATTGCTGCCTGATCGAATAACATTAAGACGATACATTCATTCACAGCATTATATTTAAAAAGCGCAATAAAATTGATTTCTTATGTGGAAATACCATTTCAGTTTTGTAGCTTTAATTTGCATGAATTTTATTTGTTCAGTTATATCAAATGACCAAATCTCACAATGATTGGCATTCAAATAAAACTATATTTGGATTTTTTCAACCTCAAATATAGCTGAAAGAGTGACGTGTAAGCTTTCAGGCATTAGATGGGGCAGAAGTTGTCTTCCCACTCGGCCCACTCGGGGCTACGAGTTGCCTGCAATATGCATTTTCCCCGAACTAAAAACAGAAAATGGAAATGTGCTTTTGTCTGTGGGCATACCTGTGCAATAAACTCGAATTTGAGTGAAGCAAAGGTGCGGTCGGGACTCCGGCTAAGCACATCCTGGCAGTCTGTTGGAAATTAGCAACAATTTGCTTGAGGGTAGACGTGCCATCAGACATTTCACGCCTGTCGCACCCACCCACTGGCACAATGGGTGGGGCAGTCCATATCTGATTATTGCAGCCACTTAACAGCCCGATCTGCTCGTATTGTGCCACGCTCTGCAGCATAACAAATGTACGGGAACCTCGGAGCACATTACAGATTTCGTAAACGCGAAGCGAGCGGCTCATCCCGCAGTTTGTGTTGCCAGAAACCGACAGATACCGACGCAGAAGCAGAAGCAGATACATGTCGTAGTTCATTCATAGTTAATTAATGAATTAACTCAAACACTTAATTACTCGAGTGCCGGCAGCGCGTAGAGCAGCCGAAAGAGTTTCTTGAACCGCAGTGGGTCAGATTTTCGTTGTTGGGGTTTCGTTTTCACTCAGCGAGGCATTAATGCGAATGGAAATGGTCGTTGATTGCCCAGGCCCAGGCCCAGGCCACCTAGAGCCGATCCGGGCAGAGATAATTGGCGTTGCAACCGTTGCTCTGGCTCTCGGCTACAAACTCCGAATGTGAATATAGAGTGTGTTGATGGAACCCCCATCATCATTATCATCAGCAGCAGCAGCAGCAGCAGCAGCAGCAGCAGCAGCATATCATCTCTAATGGTTGCACACACTCACTTTCCTCACTTTCGTTGCAGATCAAATCAGATTAGACATTTCCAAGCTATATAAGTGGCAGGTCGAGGGCACTGAGGCATCAAACACAGCTCAGCTCTTCTTAGGGTTAAAACAGCAATAAACCATTAACAAAATCTCAACCTAAGCCAGGCGAAAATGTCGAAGATCGTAAGTCAAGGCAACATCCTTTGTACACAAAGAAAACCAAAGCAAACCCATTAAACAACATCATTCACCACCTCTTGCATCCTCTTGCAGCACGTTGTTGTTCTTGTTGCTGCCGCATCCGTCCTCATGGCCGGAGTGCTGGCCCTGCCCTCGGACTCGGCCGATGCCCATGCTGAGATTCGCAGCTTTGTCAACGAGCTGAAGCAGGAGGACGGCAGCTACAACTACCAGTTCGAGACGACCAACGGCATTGCCCAGCAGGAGCAGGGAGTGGGCGGCTACTACGCCTCCGGCTCCTCCCAGTACTACAGTCCCGAGGGCCAGCTCATCCAGCTGACCTACACGGCTGACGAGAATGGCTTCCAGCCGATGGGGGATCATTTGCCCACGCCGCCACCTATCCCGGAGGCCATTCTCAAGTCGCTGGAGTGGATTCGCAACCATCCAGAGGAGAACGAGGAGTACGAGCACCACGACCACCACGGTCACGGCCATGGTCAGGGTGCCGAGCAGGGCAAACAGTATCTGCAGCAGGCACAGGGACAGGGACAGCAGCAGCAGCTGCCAGTGGGCTCTCTGCACGCTCCAGCCTCGGCGCCGGCAGCAGCCTCTGGTCTTCCCTACGATAGGAAGATTTAAGTTATTCACCAGCCCCCAGCTCGTGCCACATGCCTCGTGCTCCCATTCATCTTGTCCACCGGGTGGCACTAGTGTGTGTGTGTGTGTGTGTGTGTGCGAGAGTGTGTGACACTGTCATGTCATGTCTGTTTGCATAGTCAAAGCATCCAGCAAACAGAACCAGCATCCAATACCAACACCAGCACCAGCACCAGAACATCAGCTGAACTACATCCTCAAAGTACACTCTCTCCGCACACACACACAAGCACACACACACAAACATTGTAGTATAGACACTCCCATACATCCACATCAACATCCACATCAACATCATGCTCCCGCCTGCGTGTCCGTTGTCGGCTCGGCTGACGTTGACATTTATTGCCAGAGATAATAATAATGTAATAAAAGCAAAAATACAATTTAATATTGTTGTTTATACTATGAATGCCGCTGCTCCAGCTACAGCTACAGCTCCAGCTCCAGCTCCAGGTCCATCGTCTGCCCAAGCATATGGCCGGGCCGGGCCGTGCCTTCAGCTACCAGAGTTCCCTTTGGGTCCCAGCTGCCAGCCAGCATGCATCTCGGTTCGAGTGTCTCGCTGAGGTTTCCCTTTAAGTTTGCGCTGCGGGCTCCAGTCCAAACGAAAATCTTGGGGAAATGAAATTTAAAGTTCATAAATGCGCGCTTTTCCTTTGTTACTGCCATTGTATTGTATTGTATTGTATTGTTGGTATTATGCAAATCGATGGCGCTTCGCATTTCAGACGCAGACTTACTCGAGAAATGTTGCAACTTTAAATATTTTTCTTGTGTTGATTAAATTAACAAATTGTCTTGCTGTTGCTGTTGCTGTCTCCGTTTGTTGTCGATAATATTGATACGAGGTTGTTTCATTATCTGCAGCTTACCCTTTCCGGGTATGTCAGGGCATGATTACTTCTACAGAAGTAACCAACCAGAAAAGACGTAGGGACTGTTCGTGAATTATGTTATGATTTACTTACAATGGAAACCCAAGGGCTAGGAGTGCCCTGACAAGCCAAAAACTTTGTAATTTTGTCTGTAATAAATATCTTTTGTTGCATACCAATCTTTAAACGTTGAGAGAGAGAGTGTACAGCATTCGGAATAACTTGCCGCGGGGCTGCCATTAATGAGCCGAAGCGTCTTGCCAAAAGTTGTTTGATCGCCGAAATATGGGTCAGAGTCTGCAGCTCGGCTTATTTAAATACTCGGACTCGCAATCGGACTCGCTGTCTGCAGTGGCTTTGTCTATTCGAGCTGTATAAATAGTAAATGAACGGTCGAGTGGGGCAGTAGTAACCGCAGAGTCCCCAGCCCAGCCGCACCATGTACAAGCTCGTAAGTGGATAACAGAGTCTGGCTCCGACTGGGGAACGATTTAATTGACTTGCTTGCTTCCTTGCTTCCTTCCCTGCCGACAGCTGCTCCTTGCCGCACTTTTGGGATGTGCCCTGGCCGCCCCCAGCAACGATGACGTCATTACAAAGTACCAGACCAACGCGGATACGGACGGCACATACGCCTACAGTGTGGAGCAGGCCAGCGGCATTGCCTTTGGTGAGCAGGGCCAGGGCGGAGTGGGAGCCCGTGGCTCCTACTCCTACATCTCGCCCGAGGGCATACCCGTTCAGGTGACATATGAGGCCGACGAGAACGGCTTCCGGCCGCAGTCGGAGCTGCTGCCCACCCCTCCGCCCATCCCGGAGGCCATCCTGCAGGCCATCCGCTTCATTCAGGAGCATCCCACGCCCGAGGAGCTGGCCGATCGCGCCGTGCGTGCCCAGCAGATCTAGATCTGGTCACTCTCCGTAGCCTTAAGTTTTGCCTAAGTGTCACAACACATATCCCCCATTCCATTCCAAAGTAAAACCCACGCACACACGAGCGTAAGCTGCTGCCCCCGATAAGCGTCTGCTGGTGTTAATTTCCATGATTTGCAGCCAATCCAATTCGCGTCGAGCCGAAACCTAATTAGTGGGCTTATAAAAGCCTAAGGCAGCAGCCAAAATCCGTCCATCCGGACTCCGCAGAGACAAAGCCCAGCACTGTGTGTGTGTGGCTCGTGGTTGATATTGAATATTTAATATGAGCACTACTCTGGATGAGCCCAAAGTCCGGACACAATGAGGCCAAGCACAATGGTACAGTGGGTCGACACTCTAGTTCGAATTTCTCTCTCAATATTGATCAGAGTTGTGGGATAGAAGAAATGTTTCAATGAAGAGCGAAGGAGTTAAGAGGGACTTAGCTAATAGTATTTTCGAGATACGTAGCAGCACTTTTGCACTTCCATTCGACAAGCATCTGGTACTTGGCAGAATCTTCGCAATCAATCTTCTTCTCCCCCCCCCACGCTGTCGGAAATAAACCAACATTTATGTTTACAGCGGATGAGCTGAGATTTCCGCCACTCGCTGCTCAGCTGTCTGCGCTCATCCGCGTACGAGTGAGTATATTATAGACCCAAAGTCACACAATTTTCCGAGCTGAAAGGCAAACGAAAGTAGGTACCCGTACCCTACCAAAATTGTGGACCTCCAACCAAAAGCTGGTAGCAGTGTGCAATGGGAGAGATGATGCTCCAGCGTAGCTGGCTTCTCATTAACGTTTGACATGAGGCACGTTAATTTCTCCTTCGTCTGTGATTTCATCGCCGGGAATTCAATGAGTGCCTGCTGGAAATGGAAATTCATTAAGACACTTGGAGGCACACACACACACACGGCAGAGGACCCTGACAAAGACCTTCCATATGACACGCACATTGCTCCATTGAAGCGTGCGTGGACTTGGAGCAGCACACAGGATGTAGACTGTGCCACGTCCTCTCCCCATATCAATTAGGCACGCTCATCGCCGGATATGAGTAGTTAATAAAAAGGATTGGGACAGCAAGGAGATGTGCTTAATATGCGATGTGTAAGGTGCTATAAAATTTGGCTTACTGAAATTAAGATACGCGTGCAATACTTACTTCAGCACGGTCTCTGCCAACATTTATGTAAATTTTGGACTGCCACCGAATACCTCGTTCCTGATGTGCGGCCTGTGGTTCCCCGACCCAACCCAACCCGACCCGACTGTGGAGTGGTGTGGTGCGGTGTGGTGACAGTGGGTTCGTGTGGCCTCTGCGGTCGCCACTTAACACAGGTGCTTCAGGCTCCGGGTTTGCTGACGACAAAACAAAAAGCTGCTGTGTAATCAAAAACTTTTATTTATCATTTTGTTTAAAATCTAATTATAAATGCGTTCTGAAAGTCTGACTGCCATTTATGTACACCCTTTGGAGAGGAGTGTTATGATTATGCAGGGATGCCTGCAGCATTGCAGAGTGATCGAGAGACACCGATAAAATAAATCCAATTCAACTGCCAGCCACTTGAGGCTCAGTGGCAGTCTGTTTTAGTTTTAATTGCTAACCTGAAAGTAACATTTAAATTCGGTAAAAAATATTTTTTGTTAAGTTAAGATATAGTAGATTTATATACGATTTCCAAGTGTATCTAAAACTTCAGTCTTTGCAGCTTACAATTATTTGTTCTTTCCGGTTCAGTTGGGTGCTTAGCCGCGCTGTTCAAGCACCTGTTTCTGCATGCATTTGCTCTCAATGTGGCCCAAAGGGAAACCTGTGCGGTTCTGCAGACTCCGGTATCCCTTTTAAGCTGAATGCGAGATTTTTTAAACAATTTGTTACCTTGAATAATGGAAGCAAGTTGCATTTTTCCTACAACTCTTCAATGTACTTATGTACAGATATGTATAGCTGAGTGGAAACCCGTTCATCTGTGAAAACAAATAGTGTCCCAAATTGGTGCATTATTTAATATGAAATCAGCTGGAATCCAGCCACAAAACATCTGCAAAGCCTTTCAGGAACATGGCCTGATAGCCCTGTGCCCTTCCCGGGGATATGGCCCATATATAACAGCATCAAATAAATGGGCCAATAACCCTAAGCTCAGTAGCCGTGCAATTTATTTTTATAGAGCGTATAAACTATGCACAAAATTAGCTTCTCTGCTCGTCGTTTATTTGCCCATAACTCAACCAACTGTAGCGCATTCAGCTCCCTGCGTGGCCCCAATCCCGAGTTCCTTGTCCCTAGTCTGCCTCTACTGCCTCTAGCCACTCCCACTCCCAGGATAGACAGACAGAACTACCCTTTTGTGGCCGTTTCAATGTAAATACTTTTATGGAGTGTTCGGGGCTACCTTTCTATTTGCCGGGAGGAGGAGGAGGACCAGGAACAGCCACATGTCCATACTTAAGCAGCCCCGAACAACGGCGAACAAAGTGGAAAAAATTACTTTGTTTGCCGGCCCCGGAGCATGGTCACGGCATGTGTCACGTAGCTGCCAAAAAATATGCGAGCGAGTGCTCGAAAATGACACGGAGCGGATCCTGAGTGGCCCCAGCTACAGCCCAGCTCCAGCCCCAGCTGCGAACAAGTGGCACTATCCGGAAGAGACGAGCATTTCAATTAAGACAAAACCGAGAAGGAGCAATGCCCGAACTATTTTTATTAATAAATGGTTGCCTGGAAATGAAATTTCTTTAAAAATACTTCTGCGGACACCCCCAACTTTAATGGCCCGTTGCGTTGCGTTCGGTGTGCAATTTTTCTCGCACTCCGCTGTCCAAAGAAAATGGAAAGACGTGGATGGGAAAAGCCGTCCACTGACTGTATTAAGAGCAATAGTTCCGGCCATTTGCGATAGTCAGTGGGATGGTATGGTGTGTCGGAGTAAGAGGAGGCGAGGCAATGCACCAGTCGACAAAATGAAAAATTATTTCAAACAATAATTGCAAAGGAAAACTTTTGGACAACACACAAAGGGATGGGATAGCTCGCCAGCGCTGGATTTCAAGGAAATGGGAGGGGGTATGGGGCAACAACTACACAGAACAGACAAACGAAACCAATTTATTTCCAAGTAAAAATCAATAGTCAAGACGAAAGAGGGGACACTAGGGTAGGTGCTGGGGTGTTGCTGGGGGCCAACTAGCGTAAAAAACGTCAAATTCTAGAGTGGAGTGGCGACAAAAAGCTGTTTGCCAGAGTGTTCGGTGTGGTGTGGTGTGGGCCCATCAACATGTGAACGTGAACGTGAAGATGCCAGCACGTCGTGCCTGCTGTCCACGTCCACTCCGCCATATTCACTCCCCGTATCGGCTCTTCCGGGTTTCCGGAATCCGTTTTCGTTAACAACTGCGCCAAGTAGCGGCCAGCAATAAGCGCCCGCCCAGCGCAAGGACACCAGCGATGTTGCTGGAGCTGGAGCTTAATGGTAAAATATGCATTTGACATGCGATGAAATACTCGTACAATAAAAGCTACCCATTGCCCCGGCCCCGGACCTGGCCCTGGCCCAACCTCAAGACCCACCTACTCGACCCTCATCCTTCCGCTGTTCCGCTCCAGGGGGTTGGGTTCTTCGTGGTCATTTGTTTAAAGTTCCAATTAATTGGGCCACATTTGTCGGGGGGTGCACTCGGGCGGACACTTGATAAGCGAGAAATATTTCTCATATCAATTGTGACATTTTGATGGCGGTCTGCTTTTTGTTTCCGTAATTTCAGTCCATTTTTTATAGGCATTCCAGATGTGGCTTTAATTGATAAGTAATTACATGCTTCCAAGACTAGAATAAAAGTTCCAGGAAAGGAACAAATGAATATGCATGAATTATGATTCTTGGAAACACGTCGCATCGTCGCTGTAATTTATATTTCATTAATATATTATTAGACCTGTTGGTAACATAAGCATTAGCCCTCTGTTAGCTAACAGCTGCTAGCTGCTACTCTCTGCTAGCTAACAGCCGCGTGTACCCTCTGCTCGCTAACAGCCGCGTTACCCTCTGCTCGCTAACAGCCAGAAGACTCTCCAGAGGACTCCGTTTAATGGCATCACTTCGGGCTCGGCTCCGCAGTTGTGTGCTCGTGGCGCTACATTCCGGTCGGTTGTGTCCTGACTCCTCTCCTCTTCGGCTTCACACAGACGACTCTGGATTGCCTCCATTTCGTACGTAAATATTTGTTTGGTAAAACTCGCAGCCTTACACAGAGAAACTACGTTAAAAAGTTCACACACAAATTGCATTATTTCCGCGCTGAGATATATTGGCGCGTTTTTTTTTTTTTTTTTTACACCGCTTTTGCTTTGCATTCTTTCTCCGATGAGAATGGTAAAAAAAAGTGTAACGTATACGGGTACGGCTACGAGTACGGGTACGGGTACGGGAATATGGCGAACAAAGTTTAGTGCGATTGTTGTTGATGTGAATTTTGCATAAGGACTCTGCCCATGGAGTGAGCTGAGCGTGAGCCACGGCACCCACGAGACTCGGGAACCGGGCTTGATGTGTGGTGGGTGGGGTGGGGACTGTAACTGAAACTGAGTACTCGGAACTGGGAGCGGGCCGCATCCATTCATATCCATGTGTGGCGAGTGCTCGCAGGCGATACGCTTGCTGGTTTACTTTTTTAAAATTTCCATTAAAAACCGCTGGGTTACTTACGAGTACTCTGCCCACGTGTGGCCCATTGGCGTGTGTGTGTTGGGTTGGCTGTTTGCTGTTCCAGTAACTTGTGATTCTTAAGACCTGGGCTAAGTCGATTGCCTGACGCTTTGTGGTTACTGGGTGTACTACCTGGAAATTAGTTGAAAGTACTCTGATTTACAGCGAATTTAAGTGTATTAAGGCATTAGGCCGGGACTCGGCTCGAGGCGCAACACCCCGCCCCGCCCCATTCGGGCTCTAACCTCCCTACCTTCCATCCCTCCGTCTATGTGGCCAAAATGTAATTTTCTTAGCACTTTTGTTCACGCCCGACGACACATGTTGTGGTTCACACACTAACAGGCACCCACAAACACACACACTGCCAGCCAGC